CTAGACACTCGACCGTGCTGCTTCATTCATTCCTCATCTGTGCCCCTGGCCACTAACTACTCTATGATGACACCCATGGTTGTATGGAAAGATGAAAATTTCACTGGCGCTTGGGGATTTTATTATTTTAGTTTATTCACACAAATGCTTATTGCAACAAATTTGTGTTTCTTTCTGTAGCACAGTCACAGTTTGGTTTACTAAATACCAGCTTTCTGCAACCACCCAAAGCCATCTGCAGTAAGGCCAGTCCCCAGCAGCGTAAATCTATTTTAACTTGAAAAGCAAAACAAAACTCGGGATTCTTAGTCCTTCTCCCGGAGATGAGAGAGGCGTCAGGATGTGTGATAAGGTCGTGGTGACGCTCAGGCTAAATGTAGGGAGAGAGGCTACTGCCCAGGGCTGAGTGTTTTCGGTGGCCGTGGCGTCACTGAAACTGGGATTAAAATGCTCTTCCCTCCTCCCCCGCGTTCCCACTTTTATCAGAAGGGGTTAGTTAAATATTTTAAATAAATCATACTAATTTTTTGTTAAAGAGTTTGTTATTCATTTTGGTGACTAAAAAACTGAGGATTTTTTTTTTTAATCCCTTCAAGACAATATTTGCAACGTTGTACCTGAGCCCAGTAGCCTGGGAACCTCTACATCCCCCACAGTGATCCTGGATCTCCTAAAATGAGACTGGTTACCTGAAGAAAGCCCAAGAAAAAATGCCCAGCTGATACTTCCTACTAACTTTCTCTGATGCTCATTATGTGGCAGAAACAAGCTGGTGCCAGCTTGCTCAGGAGGAAATTGTTTGAATAATCCAGACACTGGGAGCCCTTTTGGTGGCCACACCTCCCCCTTTTAGCCCCTCCCTTTCTCCCCTTTCCTGGACTCGCAGTTGCCACTGCCCCAAAACTTCTACTCGTCAGCTTTCAAGGATGTTTAAGAGGCCAGAGGTCCAGAATGGATGATCAGAGCAGTAGAAAGTTTTATTGGAAAAGCATTGGAAAGAGGAACTTGTATATCAAGGTTTTCTCAAATATGGGCAGGAACAAGTGAACCCAAAGCTAGGATTTCAAACAATATAGAAACGTAGAGCGAAGGAAGCTCTGGTTTAGGAAGGTCACCTCATTTGGTTGACTCCAGCCAACAGCTCTGGTTGGGCAGGAGGAGAGGGCTCGGGTCCATTCCTCTATTGTGGAAGAATAACTGCAAGGAAAAATATTGAATTTGCCTGAATTTATAGTTTTATGTGTTATTTTTCTATGGGGGCATATGTCCTTAATTCCTTGCTTTGGGTTCTTGTGTCTGCCCACACTTGAGAGATTACCCTTAGAAAATGTTAACTAAGAACTTTTCAAGAACCAAATACTAACAATGCAGATGGGCTCAACTGTCACTGTGCTGCTCCGAGGATGGGCTCAGAGCGTCACTGGAGAGGGGATGAGCAGCCCTAGCCTGTCCTGGACATTGACCTCAGTCTCTTCCTCTCTCCTTCCTCAAACCAAAGACCAGAAAACTGAAACATTCCTGAAATTGGAAAAGTAATACTTGATGTAGTTCTTTGCTTTTCTCTCCTCCATAGTAATCTTCATTTAAGGTGTTGCTGTGCTATTACATATTTGAGGGCATTTAGGAGTGATGCTATGAAACATGCATGCATTTTTGTTGGTTGTCAGTACATAGTGGCCCATTAAAGCCATGTTCCCTCTGCCAGATATTAGAAGCTATTTGACATATTTTATATTGTTTAATTGAGCAGTAATATTCTAGGCATAGAGATGACAAAAATGCTGTAAAATTTGATATGCATTGGCATTTTCTCATTAATTATACGAAATTTGTATCAATTGCTAAGTATAAACCTTCACTGAAAACAGTAGCTTTTTATAGATTGTTAGAACCTAGCTTTGAGTAATATTTCTATACCTCGTTTTTAAAAAATAATGAATTTCTTGAGAATTATTAGAGAGCAGAGAGAAGGTTCAGTTTATTAAGAGACATGGACATGGACACTTGAATTCGCATTTATAACCCATCTATATAGCGTGAGAGTTCAAAATAGCAAAGCATGGTTTCTTACCCTTTGTTTGCTGAGAATATCATAACAATTCTATACGGAGCACAATTAAACAACTTCTATTTAACATATCGCAGCTCACCAACTACTGTTTATAGCCAGAAAGGATTATTAGTAAATTTCATCACCTCTGTTTACTATTTGATTCATAAAACTAAGGTAAGAAGTTTCTCTTTGGTTATGATTAATAAATGAAAATATGTTTACATCTTATAAGTACATTGGATGTCATAGGATTTTTATGTTACACATGTCTGAGAACAAGGCTCAGTAAATAGTTCTGTGTATTGATTCCTTTGATCAATCTTTGAGTATAAAAGTGTGAAAAGATCACTTAGTCAATTAGCTAATTATTCTTTCCTGCTGTTAATATTACACCATATTCAGCTGTAACACAAAGACACTATGTAGGACAGGTTAGGCTGGGTTACAATAGGAGAGTTCCCAGAGGGGGTTGATTTTGAATTGAGATTTTAAAAACACTATTTCTAGGTTCCAGATCTTTGGGAGCCTTCTTCCCTGTGGCCTACCTGAGAGGATCCAGTAGAAGGTTGTGATCTCTCATCTAAGCTCTGGGGCAGACGCTGTCACAGAGACCTCGCTTTTGAATCTGCACAACCTCTTGTTGTTTGAGAAATGACTATTCCTGTTGTGGATCCCCTCCTTGTGCCTGTTCTTGAGCACATCTCGTTGCTTTCTGGTGCTCCCACCAAAGGGTGGGCAACTGTAAACAAGGAGGTAAAATTCAGATCTGATCACCTGACACATGTGGTCACAAGTAAATAAATATGAATATCAGTCTCCAAAATAGCACTGAGGATTTCTCAGATCAGATATTCTGGCTTTCCTTGCTCCATGTGATAAATGGTTGAAACACAATGATTTTATACGAATGACAGAGCTGTTAGGTCTTGAAGAGATTTCTTGGTCTGAGAATTAAGAAATAACTGCCTCTCAGTCTAAAGGCCTTCATGTGTGATTTGGAGAAACACAAAACTAGTATTTTAATCTGAGGAAGCGGGATCCTTCGCAGAATGTCCTTGCCTTTTTTATATAGGTCAGAACAGACAGCGCTTCTCAGCCATGTGTTCCAATGAGTGACACACAACCTAAGACAAAAGCGGGATATAAGGACAACCTGGACCCACGCCGGGCTCCGGTTAGAGCCCATCGCTGCCCGGTGTGCCCGCTGGGGCATCGTGCTTTCGGGGCATCGTGCTTCCAGCCCTCAGGGTGCGGTGCCAGTTGGCAGCCTTAGCTGTCTCCTCTCTGCCCCGAAAGCCGCAGGGTCATGGTGACAGTTGTCCCCTCCTTCTAACAAAACGTTGGAAGACTTCGCTTATGTCCATTGTCTTCATGTTAGCTCCACTGATTCTCCTAGAACACCAGCAAGAGGAAGATGCATTCTTCCCATTTCAGAGTCCCCTTCCTGGGCCTCAGCAGCCCCACTTAGAACCACAGCAAGTAAGAATCAGGGCAGAAATGAACGCCAGCCTTGCCTCTGCCTCACCGTCTGAAATGCTGTTTTTATAAGCACTCTGAGCTCCCCGGGTGAAAACTGCTGCCACAGTGGACGTGTTGTCTAGCTACCCTCACGTACAGTGTGAAGCAAAATCAAAGTTAAAACAACCCAGAAACTTAGATTCCTGAGAGGATTTTTCCCCCCCTTTACTTTTTTTTCTCATTCCTCAGCCCACTATAGTCAGTGATTTTTAACAAGATGCCAGTTTGGGGTTTTAAGAGCAGTGATCTAACCCAAAACTTTCCCCCCAAAAAACTTGCCAATCCTATGTGAAGAGTCCAGTCAAGCTTTGGATTGAGCGGAGACATCAGTGTTAGCCAAGCAAGGGGTGACTTAGATCTAGGAGCCTACAAAATCAGGAAGAAGAAGCTGAGGAAGAAAAAAGGAATCATGTATGAAAAACACATCTGTGCAGATTTTATTGTATGCTGTTTGGTAGAGGGAATATAGCTTCTTTTTTTTTTTTTCTTGAGCCTGCAAAATATGCATGCTCAGCTATTGCCTGAAGTTAAGATAATTGGCCTTGCATAGTCATAAAAGAGACTTTATGTACCGTTGACTGATTCACTGCTAACCCTAAAGGGTGATTCTCTGTGATTTTTAAACAGTCACACTTGTTTTGCAGAGGGGGAATGTCTGTTGAAAGGCAACCTGTGAGCTTGAGATCTGTCAGATTTTCCCTTGGGGCATGTTTTATGAGAGGGAGGTTGGACTAAAATAATGTTTTTGGTCCAGGTTGATACCTAGGAGGGAAGACTAGGTCAACACGGGCAGGGGGTTTGTGTTAGATGAAATAAATATGTAATTTATTAGAATTCTTCCAAATATATTTCATCGATTTAGAAAATTTTGGTCCTACTTCTGGACCTCTCCAGTTACCCTAATTTCAAAAGGGACATGATGTTTCTGTAGTCAGCACAAGCCACACAATGCCATTCCCCTCCTGGAAATCAAAAAGAAAGTGTGTTTGCCCGTACTTCCTCCCCCACTCAGCAACCTCCCCCTTCCAATGCAGGTGGTGGTGAATGCCTTGGTGGGCGCCATCCCCTCCATCATGAATGTGCTGCTGGTGTGTCTCATCTTCTGGCTGATTTTCAGCATCATGGGAGTTAACCTGTTTGCGGGAAAGTACCACTACTGCTTTAATGAGACTTCTGAAGAACGATTTGAAATTGAAATTGTCAACAATAAAACTGATTGTGAAAAGCTCATGGAGGGGAACAATACAGAAATCAGATGGAAGAACGTGAAGATCAACTTTGACAACGTTGGGGCAGGATACCTGGCGCTTCTTCAGGTGGTAAGTGTTGTTATTTTTTCTGTCCTATGAAGTTCAGGTGGGTAGCAGAAATCTTCTGTGGTTCCCCCTCCCCCCTGCTTCAAGATGATTCTTAATAGGTCACCCAGCCCTGGGTCATTTCTCAAACTAGTTCCAGGGAGACACTTTCCCCGCGTACGCTGACCCCTCCAAGACCTCACTCCAAGGAGCTCTTGCTGCTCTGAAGCTCAGCAATGAACAGAGATTCCTGCAGCATAACAAAGTTGCAGAGCAATCGCCTTCTCTCTCCAGTGCAAGTGTGTAGTTAAAGAAAAAGGAAAAAAAATGAAGATGAGTGCGTAAATAAACAAACAAAAGTGAGGGCAGTTTGATGGAGTAACGCCTGCACTGAAGTTAAGGGAAAGAACATGGTGGTGCTATGCTGCTGCCACTCAGGGCAGCCCCAGAGGAAGGTCTCAGTGTCTCACAGTGAGAAAGGGGTTATTGTGATCAGGTAACATTCCATTATGCCTAGCCTCCTCTACCTCTCTTACCAGCTTTTGGGGATGTTTTATAGGACTGTGTGAGGCAATGAAAGTTCCTAGGCTTTGGAATCAGACTGATGTAGGTTTGAGCCACACTCATTTATTGGATATGTCATCTTGGACAATTACCTAACCTCTCTGAGTCAGTTTCTTCCTCTATTAAATGTGGATAATAATACCATGTATGGTTGTCAGGAAGATTCATGATAATTTACTCAAATTTCTTACCACAGTGCCTGGCATATAGCAGTGCTTAATAATGGTATTTGCAATTATGTATTTTGCTACTAGTACAACTATCTACATCATATAGTTGTTGGGTATATTAAATGCTATTATGCAGGTGAAGCTCTCAACACAGTCTTACATATTAAGCACTTACTGCTAACTGGTAGTAGGAGGCAGAGTTAAGGGGATGAGCAAGTAGTTCATTTCATTCCAAAGTACTCTTATTGTTCTATCCCAGTTCAAGAAATTGTACCCGCAAATTGAATTTTAATTGGAGCAGCTCCAGGAGACCAATGCACATCCACCAGCCAGTCCAACATTAGTTCCACTGTCCCCACCACATGCCAGGTGCTGTGCTTGGCACTGCTAGAGCCATCAAACAAATAAAGAGCTGCCCACACCCTGAAAAAACGTAGAATCTGGTTAAGTAACTAAAACATACATAGAATGTGAGTAAAACATGGAGAATTGTAGTTGGTCACCCATATTTGTTTACAAAATCAAGCTAGATATACTAGATTGAGAAACAGAACTGGGAAGGGGCCAGTATTGCCACTACCGTAGGCTATCCATGTATGTATTGGTAAAGGAGTAGTTCTGACTTAGGTGTTTTGTTGTATTTTTTAATGCAGCTATGAATTTTCCAGAGCCAATTGCTTGTTTAACACCTTTTAAAAAATGATTTCTCCAAGTTCTAAGTACCCTCAGCAGATTCATGCTATTCATTCATGAATATGAGTTTCCCCCAGCTTTAGGCAACCTTCTCAGGCCCACTTTTAAGACCTTTTGTAAAACTATTGATCCAGTTACCATTGTCAACATGTTTCTCTGCCAAACTTTGATGTTATTTTAAGGGACGTAGACAAAGCTCCCTTGGGACGTGTATTAATAAACAGAAAAGGTGTACGTCCACGTGAGGCTACACTCAGTCTCCCTTTTTTTAAAAAATATATTTTATTGATTTTTTACAGAGAGGAAGGGAGAGGGATAGAGTTAGAAACATCGATGAGAGAGAAACATCGATCAGCTGCCTCCTGCACACTCCCCACTGGGGATGTGCCCGCAACCAAGGTACATGCCCTGACCGGAATCGAACCTGGGACCCTTGAGTCTGCAGGCCGACGCTCTATCCACTGAGCAAACCGGTTAGGGCTCAGTCTCCCTTTTTGTGTTCTCACTGAACCTGAGCCTGACCTCTTGGACCACTGCTTAGGCTCCCACCCACCCCCTCACAGACACAGTCTAATGACTCACTCTGTTTGCCAGGCAACCTTCAAAGGCTGGATGGACATCATGTACGCAGCTGTGGATTCCCGAAAGGTAAGGATGGACCTGATGAAACCACAGCCTTCCTAGATGGCTAGGACGGGAGCAGCATGGTGGATCTCATCAGGAAAGGGGGGGGGGACCTTTATTGCTTGTTTTATTGATTATAGGACACTTGGCTCCTCACAGTAAGTCCTCACCCTCTTACACTGACGCCAGGTGACCAGGCTGCCTGCCCAGCAGGGCTGCCTGCTCCTCCGTGCTTGCCGTGAAATAAGTGTGGCTCCGAGCAGACAGCCTCTCACCTCATGATTTGCATATTCTCCACCTAAGTCAGTGGTTCTCAACCTTCCTAATGCCGCGACCCTTTCATACAGTTCCTCATGTTGTGGTGACCCCCAATTTCATTGTTACAAATTGAACATAATTAAAGCATAGTGACTAATCACAAAAACAATAGGTAATTATATATGTGTTTTCCGATGGTCTCAGGCGACCCCTGTGACACGGTCATTCGACCCCCAAAGGGGTTGCGACCCACAGGTTGAGAACCGCTGACCTAAGCCATGGCAGGAACAATGTCTTCTGAGGGCAGGGCCTCCACGGTGAAGGAGACAGAGAACCTAGGGCTCCCCCTTCCCAGCTTGTTCAGCAGCTTGAGTGGTCAGTTATGGCTGATGGCCGTGGCAGGTCAGAACTGCCCACCTGGTCCCCAGGTGAGGAGCTGACTCTCTTCCTTTCTCTCCGGTCCTTTGACAGCCTGAAGAGCAGCCTAAGTATGAGGACAACATCTACATGTACATCTACTTTGTCATCTTCATCATCTTCGGCTCCTTCTTCACCCTGAACCTGTTCATTGGTGTCATCATTGATAACTTCAATCAACAAAAGAAAAAGATAGGTCTCCTCCCCTCCTTGCCAGTGGTCAGAGGTCCACCCAGATGAGAGCGTAGCTCTCTGTGTCTCTGACCCTATCTCGAGAGAGGGAACACCTTTCTTCCTCTAAAATCCATGCTGGCACGTCACTGTGGCACTTGCTCCACTGCACAATAGCCCCAACCAGCTCTCCCTGTTGAGGGCTGGGTTTCAGTGTGTGGCTTACCACAGTTACTAGCAGTCTTATTCCTGAGACCTTGTACTGGTTGTGGTCTCCTACCAGAGGGAAGTAGGGTAGGAGAGGGTCTAGGTCAGTGATGGCGAACCTTTTGAGCTCGGCGTGTCAGCATTTTGAAAAACCCTAACTTGCCGAAACCGGTTTGGCTCAGTGGATAGAGTGTCGGCCTGTGGACTGAGAGGTCCCAGGTTCGATTCTGGTCAAGGGCATGTACCTTGGTTGCGGGCACATCCCCAGTGGGGAGTGTGCAGGAGGCAGCTGGCTGCACCGTGATGGCGAACCTTTTGAGCTCGGCGTGTCTGCATTTTGAAAAACCCTAACTTAACTCTGGTGCCGTGTCACATATAGAAATTTTTTGATATTTGCAACCATAATAAAACAAAGATTTATATTTTTGATATTTATTTTTTATATTTAAATGCCATTTAACAAAGAAAAATCAACCAAAAAGATGAGTTCGCGTGTCACCTCTGACACGCGTGTCATAGGTTCGCCATCACTGGTCTAGTGACAGGAGTGAAAAGGGAAGCAAATGAATAGCTACAGTGAGAAGTAGAAATTGTCTAGATTTGTAACTGTCCACATTAATCCCTGGGTACTACTACTAGCAAATTGGGATTGAGAGGCCATCCTTAGAAAATTCACTTCCTTACTTGTCCCAGATGGTTAACAATTTTCCAAAGCAAATTGAAAAGATTACTTGTTACTCATTTTATAAATCAAGTCCATCCCAACAAACTCCAAGGAGCGCCCCAAATTGTTTTCTTGCATCAGAATTTCTATATTTTTAATATTGTTAGAAATAAATGGGCCATTAGCCAGGACTTGAAAATCCTTTTATTTTAAAATGTCTTTTCCCTCAAATTTTGTCAAGAAAGCAGGCCCCCTCCCCCACCCCCCCAAAAAAAATTAGGAATCCTGAGATGTGACTATCTTCAAAGCCACTGCTCTCAAGATTAACCTTTCCTGAGGGCCTGTAATTGGGCCGTTCATTTCCTTCCTTCCTGGCAGAGCTCAGGAAACCCAAACTGAAGCAAAGGCAGGGGTCTCTTTGAATTACAGTAGTTGTCCCAGGTCTGCCTCACTCTGGTACAACCATTAGCTGAACTGACCTCGGGAGAGGAAAGGGGATAAGTGTCCCTCCGTTCCCAATTTTGAACCTTGGGTTCCAAAGCCATAACACTTGAGAACCGGTTGTAATGGCTGCTTCTCTTCTTCCCTCCTTTACTTTGGAGGTCAGGACATCTTCATGACTGAGGAACAGAAGAAGTACTACAATGCCATGAAAAAGCTGGGCTCGAAGAAACCACAGAAACCCATCCCCCGCCCCCTGGTGAGTGCTCTGTACAGGCCCCGGGCAGAGGGAGGCCCCATATGGAAACAGACACCGGTAGGGTTACTTCAGAGGAAGGAAAGGGGTGAGTGATGGGCTGCCTGTGCCCTCGCATCGTCTCCTGCTCACCGCATCCAGAAGATCTGAGGAGAATGGCACAAGAACAGGGATGAAGGTGTGGGATGGCTTTTACACGTGCGCTTGACCTTGCCTCTGGGCCTTCCTTGGACAGCAGCAGGAAATTGGCATGTTAACCACATGGGCTCTGGCCCTGCCAGAGAAATGTTTAAGAGGCAGCTAAAAATTCACAGAGGACGGAGAAATGAAAGCTGATGTCTTTCCTACCAGTCCGAGATAGGTTTAGTCATCATTTCCTCAACCCTCTACCCCACAGGTCAGCCTGTGCCTAGAAGCTGACATAGTGCTTCTGGATATTTGTGGGAGCAGAAGAGAGTGAAACTAGGAGAGTCTGACGTCCTGATCTCCTCCTTGGACTGAGCCTTCTGTAAAGCAGATTTGGGGCTTGGGGTTCTGCTTTACCCTCTGTTGGTGGTTGTCCTCTTGCTTCAGAGCAGAGGCTCCTGATGCCCCGTGACCCCCAAAGACCAGGCTCAAAGTTCCTTCTTCTGTAACTTGCATTTAAAGTAACACACACACACACACACACAACCAGCAGAACTCTTAAAATAGAAGCTTTCCTGGCAACTTCTTTTGTAAACATAATAGTAGAGCTACTTTGTTTTCATCAAGAGTCGGAGTTCCAGAGTATTTTCCCTACTCACCGCCACACCTGGCATACTTGCCTCACCAAATTCTAAAAAAAAAAAGAAAAGAGCGGCAATTCCGAAAACTCTAGGTGAAGTGACACTGATGTTGGGGTCTGCCCATGTTCCTACTCTCCTGAGAGAGCCGCAGGACCGAGCTGGCTGGTATCATAGAAAGAAAGCAGCACACTCTGATCAACAGCATGGCAACCCTGGCCGGCTTAGGAAGGCTTTCATGAATCCTCCGTTTCTCTCTTCCCCCTCCCCCCCAGAACAAAATCCAAGGTATCGTCTTTGATTTTGTCACTCAACAAGCCTTTGACATTGTTATCATGATGCTCATCTGCCTTAACATGGTGACGATGATGGTGGAGACAGACACTCAGAGCAAGCAGATGGAGAACATCCTCTACTGGATCAACCTGGTCTTCGTCATCTTCTTCACCTGTGAGTGTGTGCTCAAAATGTTTGCCCTGAGGCACTACTACTTCACCATCGGCTGGAACATCTTCGACTTCGTGGTAGTCATCCTCTCCATTGTGGGTGAGTGGGGCAGGCGGGAAGGGGATGGGCATCTGACTGGCCTTGAGGACAAGATTCCTGGGAGAGCAACGAGATACGCAGGTCTGGGGTGCAGGCCGGTCACGCTCTTCGCTTAAGCCCAGGTGTCACCTTATGACAGCCCAGGAAGCGGGCTATTTTATTACCTTCACTGGAAAGACATGAAGGTCACTCAGCTCAGAGGTAGCAGAAGCAGAACTCAGGTCGGTGTTTTAACAGCGACTGTGTGGCGTTGTGCTTCACCTAAAGGTTGAAGGGGTGCGGTTCTGGCAGACAGAGGAAATGCTGTCCCATTGCTTGCCCTCTCGGAACCATCCCTTATCTTCCTAAGAGGCATCCTGAGTGCTGAAACACGGCCTCGGTGGGCCTGACCGACAGGCTAGCAGAGAGAGGGTGCCCGAGCCCATGGGGACCAGTTCCAGAGCTCTGGTGGCCGGGCTGGTTTAGTGAGGCGGCACTCACCTGGGCCTGGGCCACTTTCTGGTTTCTGTCCTCAGGGGCAGCATGTCCAAATATGTGTTGCTACATGGAACACTAATCCCATCATCCATCTCTTCCCCAGTAAAAGAATCCCATGATGAAATTACTTTGGGCAACACTGTACAGTGAATTTCCCTGGTGAGGGTCACAGAGCACAGCAGTCTCTAGAACAGTGACGGCGAACCCATGACACGCGAACTCATTTTTTTTGGTTGATTTTTCTTTGTTAAATGGCATTTAAATATATAAAGGAAATATCAAAAATATAAATCTTTGTTTTACTAGGGTTGCAAATATCAAACAATTTCTATATGTGACACGGCACCAGAGTTAAGTTAGGGTTTTTCAAAATGCTGACACACCAAGCTCAAAAGGTTCGCCATCACTGCTCCAGAAGGCTCCTGGAAGTCCTGCAGTAAAGAATTGTTTAATACACCATCCCACTTTTCTTTGATCACAACATCTTTTTCAAGTTATAATAATGATACCTTACATTTTAGTGGAATTAGTATGTGCTGATCACCATTCCAAGTGCTTTGCATGTTCTAATTTATAGCCCGTCCAACAGCCCTGTAAGTATCAGCAGCACAGAGCAGCTACTGAGACATGGAACTAGTAAGTGAGCAAACGGGGTTCAAGCCCAGCGCCCGGCCTCAGGTCCACACTGTCCGCCTCCCCCGAGCACGCGTTGGACAGTGCTGCCCTTTCCACTGTGCCCATCCCTTTTCTGCCCTCCCACCACTGAGTGGACGGAAAACCCACAGACCAGACCGTGCTCCCTGTTCTCGAAAATAGATTTTAATGATTGGAGTTTCTATTAGATATCATTAATTTGCTCAGAAATGAAAGTATAGAAATTATCTTTTTAAAGAGGATCTGGGGTGAAACTAGCCCTGGAACCTCCTGAAAGGCCCCGTAAATGGTGTTCCTGCTGCCTGGGTTGCTGTTTGCCCCATCGCTCTCCTATTCTCTGGGGACAAATAGACATTCATGCGACAAAACATCACTCAGGCATCTTCTCTCTGAAGCCTTACTTGGCCACCATACATGGAATGCAAGTTCCCTGACTTCCTATGGCCACTGGTTATGGCTTAATTGAGAAGTGAAAAGAAGAGAGCAGATGTAGCGATTTGGGGCCTGGATGAGATAGAGGTTTTCTTGAAAGTTCAAACACCCATGGAATTCTAGCTCCAGACGAAACCCCAAGAGGTTACCTGGCCTACTTTGAACTTCCTGCCTCTTGTCCTTTCCTGAGAGTCTTACCTACCTTAAAACCTTCAGGTAAGGGGATTCCACCGCCTTCTGCTGATTGTCACCCAATGTTTATGAATCCTTATGGTTGAAAGACATATTTTAACTTAAAGTCAATCCCTCATGTCAGTTGAAGCCCGTGTTGTCTCACTGGGGCCTCGACAGCAGAAGGCACCGAAGGAGGAGACCACACCTTTGTCTTCCCTGCAGGTTCCCATCCTTTCCATCTGCTCTTCCTTCTGTGGCCCTTGTGGGGCTCCCATTGTTGCTCTGTAGCTTTAAGGCAAGTGGTCTGCTGGCTGAGTGTGGATAGAACACAGCCCTCTGGTTGGTACATTTTCACCATCTACTGTTATTTCCTACTAATGTCTCGACCTTTTATCTGCTGATACTGGTTTCAAAATTTAAAGGTTGCGTTAAAAGCCACTCATGAGAGGTCTCTTTAGTTTTCTAGACTCATTCTTTGGGGTATGGACATGGGGCAATGAGAAACCAAAATGTCTTTTCAGAGCCAGGAAGAAGATACTCTGAAAATTGGCGGCATTACCTAAATAACTAAGACACCACAGCCAAAGGGAGTGAAGTCACAGGGTGGAGCAAGGACCTCTCATTATTGTTTGTGGATATGGAAATTTGACAGCATTTTGGAAAAGAATTGATAACACCTCAGGAAGCCATACGTGCACAAATTTGAAAATAACTAATTATCCTTGAGTGGGAAACCAGTCAAATGAGGACCTTGTCATGATTTTCAACCATTATTGTGAATAATCTAAAATTATTTTAACACCAGATTTCACAATGTTAAGTCTCAAAAGCAAGTTAGAGATCTAAAAAAATTGATCTAAAAAGAGATATATTTTCATTCCTTAAGCATAGTAAAATGCTATTTACATATTACTTATGGATCCATACATACCAAAATCATGAAAATACCGCAGTGATACATACTGTCTTCAGGACTGTGTGGTTGCTTCTGGAAATGAAGAGGAAGCAAATCTAGTGAAATGCTAGCATCTCTTAAATCTGGGTGTTAGCTACATGGGTGTCTATTTTATTGTTTTATCTTTTTTTATATCTTCTTTGAAACGTGTGATTTTCTTTTTTATCATGATAGTTCAGATTAAATAGTAAGGCAGTCATTCTATAAAGTCCTTTGAACTTAAGGGTTTCATTATACCATGTGACACAGTAAAAAGAAAGGTGTCTCCAATCCCAGTAACATATCTTCTTCTATTCCTCTTCTTAGGAATGTTCCTGGCGGATATAATTGAGAAATACTTTGTTTCCCCAACCCTATTCCGAGTCATCCGATTGGCCCGTATTGGGCGCATCTTGCGTCTGATCAAAGGCGCCAAAGGGATTCGGACCCTGCTCTTTGCCTTAATGATGTCCTTGCCTGCTCTGTTCAACATCGGCCTTCTGCTCTTCCTGGTCATGTTCATCTTCTCCATCTTTGGGATGTCCAATTTTGCGTATGTGAAGCACGAGGCTGGCATTGATGACATGTTCAACTTTGAGACATTTGGCAATAGCATGATCTGCCTGTTCCAGATCACAACCTCCGCTGGGTGGGATGGCCTGCTGCTGCCCATCCTCAACCGCCCCCCTGACTGCAGTCTGGACAAGGAGCACCCCGGGAGTGGCTTTAAGGGAGACTGCGGGAACCCCTCAGTGGGCATCTTCTTCTTCGTAAGCTACATCATCATCTCCTTCCTAATTGTGGTGAACATGTACATTGCCATCATCTTGGAGAACTTCAGTGTAGCCACCGAGGAAAGTGCAGACCCTCTGAGTGAGGACGACTTTGAGACCTTCTATGAGATCTGGGAGAAGTTCGACCCCGATGCCACCCAGTTCATCGAGTACTGTAAGCTGGCAGACTTCGCAGACGCCTTGGAGCATCCTCTGCGAGTGCCCAAGCCCAACACCATTGAGCTCATTGCCATGGATCTGCCCATGGTCAGCGGGGACCGCATCCACTGCTTGGACATCCTTTTTGCCTTCACCAAGCGGGTCCTGGGAGACAGCGGGGAGCTGGACATCCTTCGACAGCAGATGGAGGAGCGGTTCGTGGCGTCCAATCCTTCCAAAGTGTCTTACGAGCCGATCACGACCACACTGCGGCGCAAGCAGGAGGAGGTGTCGGCCGTGGTCCTGCAGCGCGCCTACCGGGGACATTTAGCCAGGCGGGGCTTCATTTGCAAAAAGACAGCTTCCAACAAGCTGGAGAACGGAGGCACACACCCCGAGAAGAAGGAGAGCACCCCGTCTACCGCCTCCCTCCCATCCTACGACAGTGTGACTAAACCTGAGAAGGAGAAACAGCAGCGGGCAGAGGAAGGAAGACGGGAAAGAGCCAAAAGACAGAAAGAGGTCAGAGAATCCAAGTGTTAGAGGAAGGCAAAAATTTAATATTGTACAGACTCAAAATGCGCAAGTGAAAGATTGTTTACAAACTTCCTGAATATTATCAGTGCAGAACAGCTATGGAGACACTTTACCCTGACGATCTATACCAAACGTAGTCTGCTTACCATGTAACATGGTTGCATCTTGAGCAGTGACCTGCCCAGGGCCAAGGACCCTGCCCCCTGACTCACAGATTTTCTAACGCTTGGGCAGGTGGTTACTGCATGTTCCACATCAGTCAATGCAACTTAGGACAAAACTAAACAGGACACAAAAAACAGAGGAGAGGCTGCCGGGACCAGCGTATTTCCCTTGCAGCCAAATGGATCTTATTTTTTCATTCTGTTGATTCTCAGAAGCAGAAAGCATCACTTTAAAAAGTTCGTTTGTTCATGCAAACTCTATTTGCATTCCTACATTAGTTAAGCTAAGCAGCAAAAGAAAACACACATACACACACACTCACACTCACATGTAGCCCATGTCATTTAATTGTCAGTTTCTTTGACATCAACCGCATCTTCTCCACATGGGCTGCACGTGGTTTGGAGATGGGTGGGGGCAAACTATCAGGTTTCTTCAGGCTGAGGAGGACTTGCTCAGGCCGATTCCAAACGTTGTGCTCGTTCAATGCGTGGAAATGATTTGCATGATGGCATGCCGTGATCAGAAGTCATGCATGAGAACCATACACCACAGGACGCTGCTCATCCCGTCCCCTGCACTGGGTCAGCCTTCCAACAGGACCCAGCCCTGCACCGTTCACTGTATTTGGGGAAAAAAAATGGTAAGAGTTCCATACCCACCATAATTCTTTATGAATTCTTAGAAGCCTTTCATACACCTGATAGGGAAACATAACCAACCAATTGACCACGTCCAACAAAAACAAACCCAATCCAACAAGCAGATGGATCCGTGTGTGTATATGTTTAACAGACATCTCTTACAGCCATTGTTGCACATTTTGAAAGATGAACTGTTTAATGCTGCTCTGTGTCCCGTACGTGGGGAAATTTTGATCTCAAATGGCTTGTATTAATAATGTCACTGTAAAACCAAATCCTAGGGCTAAACACAAAAATCAAAAGTTCATCTGGAGAACTGACACTTCTTTGGGATAGAGGTAAAAATGCTATTCAAAGTAGTATGTTATCTCTAGGGGGTAACTTGGGGAACTTACAACACCTTTCCTTGGGGGTGAAGGGGTGCTCACTTCATCTGGTATCACGCCCTTCTGCATGTGGCTTCCTCTGGGCTTGGGTCCACATGGAGAGGGTTCAGGCGGTCTGAACAGGCCTCCCTTCTGCAGAGGGGTTGTCCCAAGCTCACACACCGCATGATCCCTCTCACCTCCCTCACATTTTCCACCGAGCAGGGCTTCCCTTGCCCACAGAGGTGGGTGAGGGCAGCAGCACTGGGGCTGTGGCTGTGGTTTCTTCACGTGCTGTTAGAATAACTCCTCACTGGTGGGACCTGAGGTAGTGATGGCACCTCCTCTGAACCAAGCCCGCTTGGTTTCTTTATTGCACTGATTCTCACGAGAAAACAACTTATTTATTCTTAAGATGTTCCAGCTTCCCCCAGCGCATCCCTTTCGGGCCAGTTTTGCTATCTGCTTAGCAACCTGCTCATTGCCATTGGAGAGTGGCTTTTGGGGGGAGCGTCCTCTCTCTCATTCCATCTCCTGCTTTAGGGAAGACAGTTTTTAGTCGCCCAGGGGTTTCTTGTCCGATGACTAGATTTTAAAGCCAAGACGCTGCAGTTGAATGTGCCAGGAAGTCTATACAGAGACTGAGAGACTGTCGCTTGCTAACCAAATCAAAATGAATTTTCCCTGAACCTTATAACGGGGGGAAGAACCCATAATCAGACACACCAACCTGCCTTGCAGTAGACGCACTTTGGATGTATGTCCACCTGACTAGTTTTGCGTGGAGCAAACCACAGCGAGTCGGGAAGCAGAGCTTTCTGTCTCGCTGGACCATTCGGTGCGGGCCAGCCCTCGTAAGCCTGCTTCTGTGGCACCACCGTGGAACTCCCGCACTACGCCCAACACGAGGCTGAAAAGGCATCTCTTTAGGTGACCCTGCTAACCGCTAGGATGAATGCATAGCATCGTGTACAGGTCACATCGTCAACAGCACAAAACAGGAGCTGACGTGTGTGGTTATTCTTTTTAAGAGAATTATAAATACTGTAATATATCATTTTATTTTATTGGCATGCCTTTTTGTAAATACAAAATTATTAACGTACTAAATAGGAAATGGCTTCTGGCTTATGCCATTGTCATGTTTATTTTTATTTTTTATACTTTCCTTTCTTTCTTAGAACTTAGATGCTGTCAGCCAATGTACATCCCCAAACCAGACAGACAGACAAAAAAATTTTTTATTGCTAATGGTCTTTTCCAAAACAACACAAATATATATTTTTGTTCCAATGTGCAATAAATTCTAACCACTTCTATGCAAGATTTGGCTAAACTTCATAACTGTTTCTTAGGATTGAGATGGGCAAGAGAGCTATAAGGTCCCACTCACTACCCCAAGTGCTCGTGCTAACGATACCGTTAAGCTATTAGAACATATTCATGAGTCTTTTCTGATATCTGACCCTTTCCCTCCCCCCAGACCCGGTCCCAGCCCAGCAGGCTATCTCCTCAGGCACACGCGGGCCTTGGTATCTGACACCCGTCAGCCAGCTTCACAGGAAAGATGCCACCACCACTCTATTTGAAGTTTCACTCTTTTTTTCTTCAGACTTTTCCCACCATCTTTTTCCTCCCCACCGTCCCTCCACCCACCCACCACTCTCACTCACTCACCTGCCCTGCTCCACACTTCTTTGGTAGTAAATGACACCATCACCAGCAGTTTACACCCGCAGTTAACAGGCATGGAACCAAGAGAATCAGTGGTGACGTTTCTGTACGTCTTCACTGAGTGGGTAAGCGGCAACGCTTTGCCAAATATTAACGAAGCCAATCAAAAAGCAGCAGCAGCCACAGTATCACTGCACATATATATATATATAGATATATAAATACAATATAAATATTTATTTTTTGTAGCCAGGTCCTTGGTGCAGTATTTATACTCCACAATCCACCTTTAAAAAAGGACAAAAAGCAAAAAGACATGTGTGATGCTGTTCATTTAAAATGCGGAGCCAAAGCCACTGAGCAGCAGCGGACACGGTTGCTGGTTTGTGTGGAAAAACACTTTCCCCCTCTTTCCTTGATCTCTTTGTTACGTAGGATGAGGAGACTCCACAATCCAAAGCAGAGGGCGAGAGCAGGAACAAACGGGGGTCGGCGTGTCCAACTCCCACCCCTCGCCGAATGGGCCTCTTTTGGCACCAGAAGTTGACCTGGGAGAGTTAAATAGAAACTCCCAATCAAAGCCCCTGGAACGACAGTGCCCAGAGTTCTTTTATTTTCTGCCGCCACCAACGTAAACTTCTGCAAGACCAATAGTGAAGATTAGTGTATTAGTGAATGCATGGGGGCCACCACTGCTCTAAATGAGACATGACAAAACGTACATCACTACTATCAGCCAAAAAAGGAAACATAATAAAAACGACCCTTTTTCCTGTACAAGGGAAGCCTGTCTTGCTGTGTGTGTTGCTTGACTATCCCAATTCTTGAGTCCTGGGCGGGGTCTGGGAGTTGGGACCTTAGCACATCTGGGGAAAGGAGAGGAATGGAGAGAGATCAGGGTCTTATGGCTGAGAGGTAGAGCTTGGAGAGAAAAGCAAGGTCCTGACACCTCCCCACCCCCACCCCCGCATTCGCCCATTGCATGCCTCACACCTCCCTAGGCCGGTGCTTACAGGCCCACGAAACCCCTTCCTCACCAGTTCAGCTGGCAGAGCCCCCAGGGATGATATCAGCCAGCCCAGTTGGGCTGGCCTTACTTCTGCCTTTTTCACCAGTCTGTGAAAAAAATCTAACCCAGTGCCCCCCAAGCTCAGGCGTGCACGATGCCCAGCAGCCTCCACTCTGCTAGCTATGCTGGGCCTTGCCCTCCATCACCCCACAGATAAGCCAGCGCACTAGGGCTGGTCTCCTTCACATTTGTGCAGGGATGAGGGGCCCCCCTCCGCTGCCCTCACCCTGCCCTGCTTTGGGGACATCCCTCTCTAGGCCGTGTCTCCCGATCCAGAAACACTCTCAGGAGGATTCTGAAGTGCCCACTCTAGTCTGCTCCAGTAGCTCCACTCTGGAGAGAAATGGCTGGTAGGTCAGTCCCCATCCTCCCCCGGTCCCCAGCCTCCAGGCCTGATATGGAGGTGAGATTGCCATGGATTACGACTTTGTGACTTGAGTCCTGGGCATCTTCTGTAGCGATGCCTCTTTCTTTTCTCAGATGTTGCCCAAAGTTTTGCAAAAAGCTTCGTTCATTTTCAGGTACCCCCACCCCCTAAAGAATTGGCTGCAACTAGCCAGCCAGGGGGACAGCAGGAGAGAAGAGGAAGTCGGGATTGGGAGGGGCCCAAGGTTTGCACAGAGTCTGCATTGTGGCTTAGCTCTATGCTTTCTTGGATTCCCTTTTTAAGATTACCAAGATTTCCTCCATTAAACGCTGCTGAGGCACCCCCTGCCCTTGTCCCCCACGACTGTTTGCTGTACATAGAGGCTAAGGGGGGTGGGGTCGGGTGGGGTGGGTGTGCACTTGTGGTGTGTGTGTGAAGAATGTATATAGGTAAAGGGGAGCGGGGTCCAGTGGTTCCAGAAAAGGGACAGAACTCCTGTGTTCCATTCCCAGCTCGGCCGCTGGCTCGCTGTGTGGCCTTGGGCAAGTCACTTAACCTCTCTGTGCCTCAGTTTCCCCATCTGTAAAATGGGGATAATAATACTGACCTACCTCACAGGGGTGTTGTGAGGCTTTAACTAAATGTGTAAAGTGTTTTGAGATACAGAGGCAAAGGCACTAGGGAAGGGCGAAGTGTTATTTGGACTTACGGAAGATGAAATGGTACCATAAATGCTGCTATTCTGAGAGCCATTTTAAACTGCACTGCTCCAACCACTCCCGCTTCTCATCACCAGGACAGCAGGTCGAGAAAATATCTTTCCTTTCACTTGCTTCTGGGGTTTGTGATTATTCTAAACACTTAATTTTTTTCCCTTGCTGTATCTCCTTCCCTCACCGCCTCAACTTGTTCCCTGTTCCGTTTATGCGGAAATGGCAGAGATGCTTGAGAAATGAGAATGTGTAAGTGGGTTGGAAGTTTATAGTCTGAAATTTCAATTTTACTTTGTACTGTACATCTTTTTACTTTAGAATTTGCAATAAAGGGTTACGTCAATCTTGTTTTCAACTCTCCTCTTGGACTGGCCTGTCATTCTGTCATCGCTCTCACACCGAAGCCCCTTCGCCCAGGGAGGATGGGAAGTCCCCCACTCCCACCCAGCAGGACCCCACAGCTGCCCTCCAGCCTTCCCCTGGGGCCAGGGCACATAATCTGAGCAGAGTCTGTGTGGGGTGCTTGGTCTGGCGGTGCCCAGCCATTCGGGGGGGTGGGAAAGGTTTGGGGCTCTTGGGAGACCCTCACGAGACCTTGCCAGAATGGGGAGAGAGATGCTTGGCAGCAGCCCCTGGGCATGGGCACACCTCTAGCTGTGGCGCCCCTACACGGTCCAGCAGAGCCTCCGCGGAGACAAGCCAGCATTTTGTTCTGGTCCCGTTATGCTTCCCGCTCCCTTACTGCTCACAGATCATTTCCTCCGGAGCTCGTACTTGCAGCTCCGGCAGGTCTGGTTCAAAAGCCTTCCTATGCCCCTCACTAGAGGCGGCTAGGGACTCCTAACCGGAGTTTTCCCATGTGTAATGGAGTTAATACCTTCGGCCTTGGGTTTTGAAAATTAGATCAAATGATGTAACTGCTTCGCATAGCGCCTGGCACATTGTTAGTGCTCAGTAAATGGTAGCTCTTAGTGGAAGAATAAGTTCAAAATAAGGTCCTGACGCTGACAAGAATTGGGGGGGGGGGGGCCTGCCTCCTGCCCGCCTGGCAGGCTGGCACCGGGCTTTCCTCTCCTATTTACAGCGCCCCTGGATATGCCCATCATTTCCAACTAACAAACCGATCGCTCCCTCCTTTGCGGGTTCTGTAACTTTTATAAAACGTCACAGGGAGCACTCCCCCAAACGGTGCCCACTTTACAGCTGAGGCCACTGGGGTGCGGGGGGAGCCGGCCCATCTGCAGCCCAGGCCCA